GAAGTTCGTGATGAAGAGTAATTGAAATAACAGTGATATTAGGCTTGTAGTCTTATTATAATGGACAATAAAACACTTCTACTTCTGTCTGTTCTATTTTAATAAAGGAAGCTGAGTCCCAGAGAGAAGAAATGACTTACGAAGATCATATAGTAAATGACTGACACAAAACTAGAACAGGGGGATAGAGGTTATCCAGCTCATCTTGGTATCCTAACCCCATGTCCAGTAAAAAACAGATATTTTTAGAATAAGTAGACAAACGAGTCCCAGCAGTGCTACATGACATTCTCTCGCCCATCATGTAGAGAGTGTGGGCATCTATTGTTTGAGCTGCCTAACCCCACTTTTCCAGGAATTGCCCTTCCTGCCAATCCATATAGTGGTGTAGATAAGCGCCGTATGTCTAAGTATTTAGTTCAGGACTGGACAGCTAATGCAAAATGGGCCAGTAAACACAGTCTCTGGTGATTTTGGAAGTATTTGTGAGAGCTAAAGACAGACAAACGAAGATTATTTGGTGTGAGAAGTGGGTACTTTAGCAGATTTTCCACTCTGTGTACTAGAGATGAGAAAAATTTGGTCTGCTGAGAAAGATATAGATAGGTGATAGATGGATGATACATATAGATAGATAAGTAGATAAAAGATAGATAGATAGATAGATAGATAGATAGATAGATAGATAGATAGATATAGGAGAGAGATGAAGCTGACAGCAGAGAGGTGAGAAAAGATATAGGAAGTTATGATGATGTTCAAGTACTTGATTTTAGTTCATTGTTACTTTTCTATCCTTAGGTAGCATAATATGCTTGTCTATCCTTCCAGTATATTAAGTTGGTAGAGTTGGTTCTGTTGATTACAATCCAAATAGTATTACCACAGAATTATGCCTCTAACTTTTGTATACCATCTGTGTTTCCCCCAACTTTCAAATATCTGAATTTCTCCAATTTTGTACCTTTATCTCAAACTTCTCTCATATAAGCTATGAAAATACCATGGCTCTAAAGAATAGTAATTGCAATAAGAAGCCACATTTTGAGTTTGTTAATAAACATGGATTAAACTACTGCTGGGGATGTGAAGACTTGTTTAATAGAATGCTATATGAAATTGTATCCATATAGATAACCAGCAACTTAGTAAATTTTAAGAGATTAATATAAAGACATGCTACTTTGATAAAATTAATTTTGGGAAAAGCTGAAAGTTTTATAAAGGAAATAATAAGTCTTAATTTTTGTTAGACCTTTGGGCCACTTTAGATATCCAATGAAAGCTTCAGATTATCTACCCAGGTAAATGCATATTTACATACAGTTTAGTGGATGCTTTTAGAGAGTTCAAAGAGATTCTTGGATGTGAGAAACTGATTTTAAATAATTTTATATTTCTTCAGATAGTTCAACACTTTGACCACTAAAGATAGGAAAAGGAGAAATTTGTATTGACCTGAATTACGCTCAACTCACTCACTTACTCATACAACTTATACTGCTTTGGTTCCACTGTGTCCTAATGAAGTCCCAATTCCTTGCTTGACACATAAGACCACTCAAGTTCTTGTTCTTGTTTATCTTCTTTCACTTTTACTTATATATACATTTTCTCCAGCCATATAAAACCAGAAAATAATGAGACTGCTTTATGCCACATACATGCTGTTCCCTCAGCTGTAAGAGCCCTTTTTACCACCTATGTCTTAATTGGTTGGGTTCTTACCCATCCTTTAAGACCCAAGTCATATTTCACTTCTTGTGGAAAGCCTTCCCTGACAGCCCCAGGCTGGGGGAAGGGTGGTTCTTTGTAGCCCCTTTATCCATCACTGCACTTACTATGGGATATTGTAATTGTTTGTTAGGGAACCTTTCTCCTCCACCAGAGATCTGGAGACGGGGCTTGTGAGATAGTCATTTACGTATTTTCAAAGGTCTGGTTAGTGGCTGTCACATAGTTCACAAGACATGTTTACTGAATGAATAAGTGAATGAATGAATGATTTTCCCTGGGATAATAGGAAAGTTACTTTACCAAACCTCTGCTTCAATTTCCCTTTCTAAAAAGTGGGATAATGAATGCTGCTTATAAAGGAATGTGAGAAGAATCAGTTATTGCAGAGATGCAGTGAAATCCTCAAACGAGGCAAAATAAAAGAGCAAAGTATATTTTTTATAATCTTATTCACAACAGACTTAACACTCAAGGAGAAAACCATTTGCTGTTGTTTCTTCATGGCAAGAGGCTTGCCAAAATGGATACTATTTTCTAAAATATTCCAAAGTGTGAAGTGCATGAAGAGGCCTCCCGTCATTTTAAGATGAATTATGTTCTAATCCGGGCATTTAAAAAACAACAACAGAAAAACTCAGGCTGGTTTTCAATTCTGTCTGCATCTTCTCCTGGCTAAGTGCTAGGAATATTAAAACAGATTTTAACTGCTTGCCAGAATTTTTTTTTTTTTTAAATCAAAGAGCCCATTATATTTTAAAATGTGACCTCTGGTGAAAAGGTCACCTTCTGTTTCTGGAAGCTGGACTTAAGATGTTAAATTAGGTCTCCTAATCACCCTTTATATTGATGGCAGTTGGTGGATATGTCACAAGCTTGGAAGGACACCTGTACACATGCTACAGGACCAATTTCTTGGGGCAGATGGCGGGCCCATCACCAAGTGGTGATGAGAGGTCTCTGCATGCATACCAGGTAGTACAGGAACCAGCCTACACTCTCAGAGTTCTGCTGCCTCCCTTCTATGATGGAGGAGCATCTCAAAGTCAAAGACAATCTGACATCAAGGCATTGGGTAGAAATCAAAAACCCAGAAGGGAGGGCCCCACAGGTCTCACAGAGCATCTGAGAATAGACGGCAAAGAGTCGGTGAAGCCCTTCCCCAAGCTCTGTATACACAGGTGCATACCATATGTTCAGTTTTGCCTTGAGACATCTCAGGAACTTCAGGCTGCACTTCAGTGGCAGAAATTTCCTTTACATTCTTTCCTGGATCTGAAATTAAAAGTGGAAGTGTTTAGTTTGGTCTTTTCATTTTAATACATACATGTATAAACCAAGGCAAAGAAGATGTTGAGGCTCTATTATGTGGTTGGCACTGTGTTAGGTGGTGGGCATACACTGGTAGATTAGAAAGATCTGATTCCTGTCTTGATGGAGCTCATAAAGGGGAGGCAGATGCTCAGTAATTACTCAAAATTATCATTTAATTACAAATTACCATAAACACAACAAAGGAAAATGTGAAAGTATTTAAGCTTTTTTGGGGGTATGCATGGGAGTGGTGGAGGATCAGAGAAAGTTTCTTGGACTAACTGACATTTAAACTGGGGACTTGAAGGATGAATAGGAGTTTCCAGGCAAAAATAATGGTTGGGGTGCACATGGAACAGAGAGTTCCAGATAAGCAGAGACACAATAGCCTGTAGAACTGTCTGGAATCAGGAGGTCTTTTATAGTCTGGGGAGTGGGAAGGGGGCTCTTCTGGTGGCCCTGCCTCTTAACAGAGAAGCAGGGACTTCCCCCTCTTTCTACATAGGTGTGTGCCTAAAGGATCAGGTGAAACTTTTGTCTTCTCCTTTTCTTGTTCCTTTCATTGGTCAGAGGTCCTGTGTGGGAAGAGGTTTGAACAGCATCCCTAACCCAGGGATTCTACTGTCCAAGTACGATATGCTCAGTTGGCTGTCTTCATGAATAGAAGAAATTTCCTTAGGATGCAGGAAAAAGACATGAAGACTTTCTGCTGAAATCTCTAAGGCTTATTGTGGATATCACTCATTCATCTCTCAGCACTTTCCATCAGACTCGACGACTTATTCATGTATTTTAAAACTCTGTGTGATGACCACACAGCATAGATTTCTGAGTGTTTCAGCTTCGATATTTAGTGCAAAATTTAAATATGTCATTAACAAATACATATTGCTTCTGAGTTGGGTCTATTTTCAGTAAAAATGGTTCAATCAATACATTTTAAACAAAAGTTGGAGAGAGGGCCACAGTTGTAACATGGTGGTAGAAAGTAGAGCCCCTGAAGCCAGATGCCTTGGGTTTGAGTCCTGGCTCCTTTCTCTATTAGCTGCATGACTTTGGGCAAGTTATCTGTCTCTCTTTGTGTCTCAGTTTCCATTTCTGTAAAAAGGGGATAATGCCACCTATAGGTTATTGTGGGAATTAAATGAACTAGAAAATGTAAAGCAAATACCTGGAACATAGCACGTGCTCGCTAAATGTTAACTAATAGAGTTATGTATGTTAGGATGTTTATATAAATAAAATCACCTATCAAATTAAAAAGCCTTTTACTAGACTTTTAACACTGTACCCATGAGTCGCTATGAATCTTCTCCCTCAGCTTCTTGATGGAGAAAACAATGTGATTTCATAATCTTCTCTGAAACCCTCACACTCAGCATTCAAATAAGTACTCAATTCCTGGTTGTTGACTAAATGAATAACCATGTGCTCTAATTTGGAGTTTAGAAAATAAAATCACTAAATATATAGATTAGTTTCTTCAGTTCCTTTTCAGGCCCTAGGAAAGAAGGAATTTTCTCTATATTTCTTCATCCTCTCATACCTAACTCAGATGCTATGTAGAGTAAAACTTAATAGATGCTTAATGAGGATCATGATGACAGCCAGTTAGGGCAGCCCCTTCCAGGCAGATCTAATTTAATCTGCTGAAATTTAAGTTGTCATGGGAACCCATCATCACCTAGTAGCACTGGCCCCCGCTTATTTCACCCAATATGTGAAAGGAAAGCTTTCTGTTTCCTGTAAGTGAACAAAGATTCAAATTACTGTGAATCATAGAGTTGTAGAGTTAAAGGGATTCTGGAAACACTATATAGCATAAGGGCAGAAAGATGACTTTTGGTGTCAGACCTGAATGCTCATCCTGATTCTTCTCTTTACCAGATGCAAGCTTTTGGATCCTAATTTTGTCAGATTGTGAAAGTGGGATGATACCAGCAATTTGCAGATTTGGAGTGTGGAGATTTAAAATAAAATTACAGGGAAGATGCTCCATACAAAGATTTACTATTTGTTATTATTTTATGACCTTAAGCAAATTTAGTTTCCTCAGAGAAGAGGACTTAACATTAATTACAATGTGCCAGGCATTTTCCTGAGCACTATTCATAAGTGTTATCCCTTTTAGTACAGATCTAGAACCTAGACTTGTCCCAGTCTAGTTTCTTTCTACTGTCTGCACTTCTAAAAGTTCCATTAGGGGAAAATACATGCTAGTCTCCTTGGTGTTTTTTAACCTTCCCTGTCTTCTTCCTAATTCCTATAAGCATATAAAACGATAATGATTTGCACGTGTAAAAATTGTTTGAGAAACCCCAAGGCAGAGCTTTTTTTCCCTAACACAGCAGCAAAGATAAATAATAACCATCTGTCTAGTCTGCCAGTTGAAGATTTGCACTGGAGGAAATAAGCCAAGCTGGCTTCTAGAGATTTCCAGGTGTTGGAAGGGCCAGGTTTTACAGGGCTTCCAGTGGATTCTGACAGCTATACAGCCAAGGCTCCCATCGCCCCCCTTCCCCCACTAATGACTTGAAATTAGTGGTCTTCAGTGCTGGCAGCTAATATGCTTTCATCTGGGGAATGTTAAAGATTACCAATGCCTAGGTGTAACACCAGACCAATTAAATCTGAATCTCTAGGGCCCAGCTCAGGATATCTGAAGAATTCCCAAAGTAATTCTAAAGTGAAGCTAGGGTAGATAACGTCTGACTTAAATAATGGCTTCTGGCCACTGAAGCTTTTGTGAGAAGGAAACTAATATGTATTAAATATCTATATATACCAGACATTTCCCACATGTCTTAATCTAAAGAATAACCGTGTGAGGTAGAAACTACCTCCATTTGACAGATGTGGAAACTGAGGCAATGAAAATTTCACTTACCTGCTTATGACAACAGAAGTAAGGTTAGCTCTGGGATTCTCATTCATTCATTTGACAATTATTTGTTAAGCGCTTACCATATGCTAGGCACTTTTCTAGGCACTATGATGTGACAATGAACAAGACAACCTTCTTATGGAGTGCGCAACCCAGTGGGGAGGGCAAATAAATAGGTACGTAAAATAGTATCAAGTAGTAATAAATGTTTTAAACACAACTAAAACAAATTATGGGCAAAGAAAGTAATGGCAGTTGATATTTTGGATAAGAAATTAGCTAAAGCCTTCTCTGAAATGACATTTAAATAGAACCATGAGTGCAGAAACAAGGGAGAAAGCCATGCAAGTGTCTGGGGAAAGAGCATTCCAGGAAAAAGCTATGGCGGATGCAAAAATCTCCAGGGAGGAGTGTTTGGTGCATTTAAGCTGTAGATGAGAAGAGAGCCTAGCTGACCCAGAATGAAAAGAGAAGTGGGTTAAATATTCATGGAACCGAAGGACCTCCTGGGCCATGCATGTGACTGGAGTTGATTTTTTTTTTTTTTTTTGCTTCTCAGCATTCATTCCTTCTTTGATATTACTCCCTTCATTATCCCCTATAGTGATAACGGCTATATTTTGCTTTGTGCAGACTACTCTTCCCCATCCCAGTGCTGTGATTTGGTAGGAATGCCCCTCAGTTCCAGCTCCAAGCTTAGTTTCAATGAGTTAGAGATTAGGTGGGCCTTAAATCCAATGAAGAATGGTGTCTTTATATGAAAAAGGAGAGGGTAATTTAGAAACAGATGCAAAAGAGACAGAGGGTGGAAGGCCATGTGAAGATAAAGGCAGAGTTTGGAGTTAGGCAAACACAAGCCACCCAAAGCTGGAAGGAGGGTAACGCCCAGCGCCACCCAAAGCTGGAAGAGGCCAGGAAGAATTCTTTTTTAGAGTCTTCGCAGGAAATATGGCACTGCTGACATGATTGATTTCAGATTTCTAAAACTGAGAGAGAACAAATTCGTGTTCTTTAAAGCCACCCAGTTTGTGGTCATTTGTAACAGTAGCCCTAAGGAAATGAATACACTCACCATCCTCTCTTTGTTCTTTTGGTCTTCCAATACTTTAGAACCAATCCCTCAGTTCCCTGTTGTAAATTCCATTTGACATACCTAGTAATTTTTCTGTTTTTCTGCTGCAATACAAACTGGTATACTGCCTTCCCCCAAACTCTCAGTACTTTGCATTTTGATCCAAAAGGTAATCAGTAAAAGGTTGGTAGATATAGTAAATAGAGAAATTATAACAGCAGATTAATATCAATGCATATTTTTTCACCTGCAATATTTAAAATGCTAATTGTTAGATATTTTGCCCAACTCATTCTTATAATTTCACTTAATATATCTTGGAAATCTTCCTGTATCAGGCCAGCTTTGTTATTTTACAGCTGCAGTTTTATCAACTGGATATACTGTAATGTAATTAAATGGTCCCTGAAAGATCTTTTTATTTTTTCCATTTTTAAAACATTAAAAATTTCTGCAGTAAACATATATATAAATCTTGGAGAGTTTTTTGTGAGATATCAGTAGGATAATTACCTGGCTGTGGGATTCCTAGATCTAAGGGACTGTGCAGCTGAAGTTCTAATAAATAGCACCAGCTTCTACAAGTGTGTTAAACTCACCATAAATAGCTATCACTAGAGAATGCTTCATGATGTAATAAAACTTGAAGAGTTATGTCTTTTATGATCCAACCGGCCTAAAAGAATAGCCATTAAGGTAATTCTCACTCTCATTTCTTTCTTCACTGGTGATCCATTTACATTTCTGGGAGCATTGAGATCAAACCCAACAAACAGCTAGAGTTAAGCAGCAGAGTCAACAGTAGTTCTGGGAAATGGGAGATCCTTTGAGGAACAATATTACCGAACTCACCTGTAGGCAAATCAGATGACAAATCAAAGGAAGCTCTGCTCAACAACGCAACAAAATTCTGCCATCTGTGCAAGAAAAGGAGACATGATATTGGTGGTCAATATCATTGCTTTGAAAGAATGTGCAATGAAGCTTGAAGTTTATATTGATAATTTTGAAGAGACTTTTTGGTATGTGTATCATCTGGGAAGCAACGTAGGAAACAAAAACTCCTTTATATATCTCTACGAGTAGGGTCTTTAATATAAGAAATTAGGTGCCCACAAAATGACTTCAAGGGCCAGTAGAAGGGAGGTTGATGTCTGCTGCTAGGTTCAAGGTCAGGCTTCAGCAGATATAGTCCAGAAATCAGGGAACTACAGGAAATTCTGGCTGATGTGTCAGTTGCCTCTGGCCATGAGGTTGGTAACTATTCAGTAAAATGCATTTTGGCCACTGGAAGGGTCTGACATTACTGCAGGAAAATAAATAAATACTTAAAAGTGTCTCTGTCCCCCTCCCTACCCTCTTCTGTCTTACAAATCTCATGCAATTGCATCTCACTGATGGAACTTAAATCAATTCCAGAACCTTGATGTCAAGGGAGTTTTGGAAGTGTTCTTTTTAGCCTTCCCAAGTATGGGAAGTATTGCAACACAGGAAAGAACATAGGGGATAGAAATGAGTGCTGAGCACAAACAGACAATATTTAGTGAAGTCCCCAAGCAGAAATTGCAGAGTAGTATGTCTGCATGTGACAATCAGGGAGTCATTTAAAGTTTACAAGTACTTTAGGAATGCTTCAGGAGTGAAAAATCACTTTTATTTGCTTGCCCAGCATCAATTCATCCTCTATTTATATATAAAAATGTTCTCTAGGGTAATGGACTGCAATCAAGGTCCCATACCTTTTCCTAGCCAGTGACCCACCTTGTCTAATTAATCTCAGTCTATTACTTTCTTCATCTCTCCCTCTCTCTCTTTCTCTATATCCCACTTTTTGCCTTGGTATCCACCATATTTTTGGGTTTGGTAGTTCCTGAAGTTTTATTTTTCTGTAATTTTGTATGTTATTCCATATCCTTTCAAAATATTTAATTTTCTGTGTTAGCAAAAGGCAGTTTCTGTTGCTAGCAACCGAATTGTAACTGATAAGAATTTTTAGCTCCTTCTTGCATATCAGAAGTTAAACAAAAATAAAGTGCAAGTTATGAGATATCTATCCTGGGTTTTCTAGAAGAGTTCTAATGTCATGTGATTTCATTCTCTTTAAATAAAAATAATTCATTAGATATGTAACCAATTTGTTTTGCTTATATCTCATAAAACTTGTACATGGTATCACAAATCAGCAAAGTTCTTTGATTGGTACAGAAAATATAGTTTCCGGGGCTTTATTCATTTTTAGGCATATGAATAGATGAGGCACAGGTATGCAGAACCACAAGCCAGATAGGCTAATGAGTACATCAGCTGCTGAAGGCACAGGCAGGGAAGAGAAGTTGGTGAAGTAACACTCTCAAGAAGTATTAATAATCATATAAGGATCTGATATTAGCATAACTTTAGAAATGAACTGCAATAGAAGTAGCTCCTGTTTTCTACACGTCCTGCAGTTTATTTCCAAACCCTCTTAGGAGGGCCAGGCCTGTGCCTAGAGCATCTGCTGACTCTGAAAAACAATGTGACAACAAAATGCCATATCCATTGATATTTCCACGTTGCATAACATTTATTTTCAGAACTGTTAGGAATTATAAAATATGAGATAAGGCCTCTGGACAAAATGCACTGGAAATTCTCTTGCCCCTTCTTGATTATATGCTGCTAGTAAGGTAAGGAGACTGTGGGAAAATTTTCTAAGTATTGAACTTGGACATTGTCTGATTTAAATGGTGTTTAGTACTGCTATGGCAATACAATTCTTAAGATCTTTCAATTAAAATATTTTCTTTTTTCCATATTTGTTACCCTAAAACCTTCAAAAAGCCACTGATAACTTAAATGTGAGAATGGGTTCTGCTTGCTATAACAGGCACTATGATTCTAATCACAGAAGCAGGTGCTAAACTCCCAATATCAAGTCAAAGAAATGAGGACTGGAGGACAAAGTCTGTGAGCCTGATTCTAGATTCAGGCAGATCCAAGTTCAGTTTCTATCTTAACTGAATTTATCAAGTTAAATGGCTTCGGTGAACATTCTGAATACTTAATATGCATTATCTCATTTAATGAAAACACCCACTTCATGAGACATGTGAATAACTTGCCCAAGAACACCAATTAATGGGGCAGCCAGGATTTAAACTCGGGCTGTCTGACTACAAATTTTGTGCCCTTGACCATTGTACTATGTGGCCTTACAAATGAATGTAATATAACTTGGCTTCAGTTATAATTTTTCACCTTTGGAATTTCATGAACACAGCTCCACTGTCTTCTGACATTTATTATTGCAGAAATTTTAGATCAGTCTGGGTTTTGTTCATTTATAATTAGTTTTTCCTTTGTTTACTTTGGTTTAATTTAATTTTGGCTATTTAATAGTTTAATAATATAATAATTTTCTTTGTATTTGAAATAAAAACGTTTTATCGGGATTGACATGGATACATTTTTTCTTAATTTAGTTTAGATCATAATGAATCCTTTCATTCTATACAGAAGAGTTTTTCTTTTCTTCTATCTATGCAAAGTTTCTTCAGTTGTAACTTTTGTTTTTTACTTCTTGTCCCATTTTTCTATTTTTTGATTCTACAATACCAAGGCTTCTTGAGTTCAATCTCTATTCTTATTCTTCGAAATCTACTGTATTTTCTTCTCTGTTCTTTTTCTTTAGATTTCATGGGAAACTCTCAAGATTGACTGTATATATTAGATTTTTTTTAGTGTTAATTTTGTTTTTACCAATTCCTGGTTGCCTCTTTTTTGGGGGCTAATATTTTACTGGAGCATAGCCACAGCCATCAGCTATGTGTTGTTTATGACTGCTTTCAGCTACAAGTGACATAGTTGAGTAGTTGCAACAACTGTGGACCCACAAAGCTAAAACATTTGCAATCTGGCCCTTTATAGAAAAGGTTTGCTTATGTAAACATTTAACATAAATGCCTTCATTTCCTCAAATATCTGGCAATATTTAGATTTCCTTGATTATTTAATATTTTTTATTGAGATATAATTTACATAACATTATAGTAGTTTTAAGTTTAGAACAAAATGATACATTTATATATTGCAAAATGATCACAGTAAGTCTAGTGAACATACGCCACTATACAATAGTTAGAATCCTGGTTACCTCTTTATTCTGCTATAGAAGTTTTGGTTTCCTTGAAACTATCTAGATTTCCCCAAGGTTTTTCTAATTTCTTCTGTTCACTTTTTGTGCTTTTTAAATTTCATTTTTATAGCCTTTTAATTTCATTATGCTTATTACTTTCCAATTCATTTCAGTAGAGGACCTTATTTTTTATACCTTATAGAGAACACTGATGGTTTTCTAAATGTTTTCTAGTTTCTAGAATAAATAATTTTCAAATCTGTTGTTACTTGAAGTTGCCAGAATCATGATTCCCTCTTCATGTTTGTAGTATTTTATTTTTTAAAATTAGGCCTCATATGTTGGGTTTCTCTTTATTCAGGGTCAATGGAATTGTTCTCATTCAGCACAACACAACAGATGACTTGTGTAGATTTCCCTTGGCCCCACCCTCTGCTCATTTAGCTGCATAGTTAAAGTGCCGGTGGCAACTGACACCAGATACCTGGATGACTGGTGCCTTTTAGTTGTGACTACCTAAGAGGTGGGATTTTCTCACCATACCTGCTGGATATCAGACACCAAATTGTTATAGTACATCATAATCAATATACACTTTAGCATATACAATTACCAGGGATTTCTCCCTCTGCTCCAATCCACACAATTTTATTTTCAGCAATTATGCTTCACCAGATACAAACCACGGCCAGCTTTTTCCTTTCTTGCCTTTCTTACTGAGCTCTGCCATTTCTGGGAGGTGTGCTCTCTGCATAGGTACAGAAAGTAGTGTGTGGTATGAACCCCGTGAAACAATTACCTGCCTAGAAGGACTCCTTGTGGTTAATTGGGCTGAAATTCATAACCACAGTCTAACAGCCATTGCCTGTGGAAGGTTTTCATGCATGCTGTGTTTCGGGGAAAAAGCCACTGACTAAACTGCCAAGCCTCCGGCACTGTGTTCCTGCCAGCTGAGCTGACCTTTATAAGGGAGTTTCTGGAATTGTATTTCTGCCAATAGGCTAAGAGCTGACTTGTCCAATTGGAACTGCAGTTATATCCTCATTTACATCTCTACTGACCAATCAGAGCAGCTCTATAATGACCAATCAGAATGCACAATTCTGACCATCAGGACAGAACTCTTTGGACCAATCAGGCTGTGCACATTTGGATTCCTCATTTGCATAGAAATGGACCAATCAGGGACCAAGGTGGAAACTTTATATAAGTGGTCCTTCCTTTTATCTCAGCAGGGAGCTCCATCAGTTTTCTTTAGAAAATGTGTTTCTTTGTTTTGCAAACTTTACTAGAATTAAGGTTTTCATTTTTTTTTACTGTACCCAAGACTGGGGACTCCTGCTGACATTGAACTGGTGGCAGTGACCCTTTGCTGACTGTGGGTAAGTGTATATGTGTGTATCCCTGGGTGGGTAAAGGAGAGGAGGGAGCAGCACCTGTGTTATTTTCTGGTTGGTTAAGACTTGGGGCCTCCAAATCAAGGAGAAGGAACAAAGTATCTTTTGTCTCCTGTGGGTTTTTCTTTTTAGGTAAGTAGGGCAAATCTTAGGGAACTAATTTAATTATTTTTCCAAATTCCATTTATAGGTAGTAGAGATTCTTTCTAGATTCTGGCACTAGAATGAATGAGTTCTTGCTACCAGTGTGGTTTTTTGCCTCTTTATTTGTTCATTACAATTTTAATTAGGGGTTTGAAGCAAATGACATTTTGTTCAAAAAGTCTTATATATCAAAACAAAACAAAACAAAAACCTAAACAGACCAAACACAAAATGTAGGCTATTTCATAGAAACCCCCTTGTA